ATTGTTTATTTTTGTAAAGCCTCAGTTAGAGGGCTGCCATTTTGATATCAAGTTGATGCACGCTCACCCTATTCTGTAGTGCCATACATCAGCAAGTGTTAATAGATGTGATGTAGTTCCCATGGCACGCGGTGTGCCCAGCGTGCTTTGGTAGTCATAAGTCTAGCTGTCGTGGCACTAGGGGTTGTGTTTTTGGCGATACTTTTGAAAACCAGGGTTTTAGATTTGTGGTAGTTGGACATTTAGCGATGAATTTTGTGTGTGCATTTTTTTGGCAAAAAACTACATTGGTCAGGTTAATTGGGCCAATTTTTTTTGTTTATTGTTTGATTGTCCTTAGTGTTATTACAAGATGCCCTTGATGTATATGAATTGAATTTTCCTTTAGCTTGTATCACTACTAATGATGATTATGATGATAATGATTTGAAGGATTTAAGATTATTAACAACTCCCTCCTTTTTCAGGGCACTGCGGACCAATGTTCCTTCCCTGTGAAGCACAAACCACAAGAGGTGAAGCCTACAGACACAAACAACATCCTCTTTACATATGCTGTGGAGTGGCAGCGTTCCGACGTGAGATGGGCTTCTCGCTGGGACATCTACCTGCAGATGACAGATGTACAGATCCACTGGTTCTCTATTGTCAACTCGCTGGTTGTGGTGTTCTTCCTCTCGGGTATCCTCACCATGATCATGATCAGGACTCTGCGGCGAGACATTGCCAGGTGGGTGATGGAAGCTTTAGGTTTACAGTGTGTTGGACTGAGCCTCTTAAGATATAGGTAGATGATGATGGATTTCAGGGGGAAGATTTGAATTTGAAAGTTGAAGGATGTAAAGAAAGAACTGTACATAACTAGGGCAGTGCATGTATAATTGTACTGTCCATAGCAGCATTTTTTTTTATTGATTTTGTTTACATTTAGTTGGTTCTGGAACATTCAAGTCAAAGACTAAGCTAACATTACCTAACATTGTTATGATCATGATAATTTTGATAAACAATGGTAGTAATGATGATAATAGTAATAAAAATAAAACATTTTCCCTAAAAATTTAAAGGAAAGATGAGATCACGCAAACCAAGCAATTGACTCCTTGGTGACTAAGGTGACCAAGCTTTAGTGAAGCCATCTATGTGTAAACAAAATTGATAAAAAAAAACAAGTGGATGGTACATATACCCATTGTCAAGGGATGAAATTGAAAGAAAATTTTCCTCACTTCATACAGTCTACATTAGATTTAGCATTTCTTATATATGTATTTTTTCCATATTAGTTGTGCTAACTTAGATGTACCAGTCTAACATACGATGAATGTGAAAGGCTCCTGAAAAGAGCAAGGAAAATCCAAAAGAATGTTCAAACGTCACGCCATATACATTGGGCGGACAATAGAGCAATAATAGCTAGGATACTGATCATTATCAAATGTTATATCATACAGCATGACAGGAGTTGTTTCAAATTTTAAGATGTCCTGGTGGCATACCAGGAGAAATGGAGCCAGAGAAAATGTCTCCCTATTTCATTTTATTTATTTTTTTGATGTATGTATAGTCACAGATGATTATAGCTCGTAAAAGCCAGCAATGATGATGGTTTAGGCTATACCCAATATTCATTTTAAGCTTTCAATCCTGACACAAAATGCAGTGTAGCATACAAGATTCATGGACATAAATGGGATTCTTCCTGCACCTGCTACTCCTCCCAACTGATGGGCTGGTTCAAAGTAGCATCAGCACAGTAGCTGAGAGGCACTTCACATCCATTTTAAAATTATATACCATTTTGTGTTTCTTTATGACTCGATAACACTCATTACTTGTCTGGATTTTTAAACTAGTCAAATTACAGTTAACCCTTCCCTTTATTTGTGTGTAAAATATGAGCAAGGCTATCATGTGACACCAGTGAAACAATGAATGTGGCCCATAAGGTTAAAGGGTTGTGCTTATAAACATATTTATCATGCTCATGTTTTTACTTACTAATATTACATTTTAAAATGTTTCATTAGTAATGACTATAAACAATTGAAACTCCTTTCAAGTGTCATAGTGATAGTAATTGATTATTGTTTTGTTATTATAGAATTATTGTATGGATGTTTTGCTCTATAGAATCGTTAGAATAATTTACAGTAAGGCTTTGATGAAATTTCCTAAAACACGAATTTTTAACAAAGTTTTTAACAAAGATAGGGATGTGTTATAGGAACGTGATTCTTAGGCCAGTATATATGGTAAATTGTTTATTTATCTATTTTTATTTGTGATTATTATCTGTAAAACTTCAGATTTCAAAATTCAAGTAGGTAAAATTTAAGGATGAAAATAAACTAATCTCAAAGTAGATAGTGCACACATTTCTCAGTTTGCAGGTGTTATGTACATATGAAGAAAATGATAATTGGATGGAAAATTAAATATGTAAAAATTTGCATGATGTTGCCATTTTAAATTTCTGGGGCCGGATTCACTAACACGATCGTAACGCATTTACCAGTGGTCATTTACCATGCATTTACCAGTGATGGCAAAGTGGTATTCACAAAGAAATGGTAATTTGGATATGCTGAGTTACAATTGTAAATCGACTCATTCTGATGGTAGCCTACAGAGGGCTCTAGTAAGGCTCTAGTAAGGCAAACACTATACATAATCTTTTAGGTTCCTTCGGCCAATCATGTAACATGTAAAAAAAACTACATACAGCAAGATTTAAAAAAAGATCTCGGCTAAATTACTATTTAAGCACATGTAGAAAAAAATAGATATATTTATTTGATCATATCCATCATGTGGGATATATATTTACTGTATAGATAGGAACCAATACAAACACTTTTATTAATATATTATTAATAAATATCATTATTAATTTATTATTAATATGAGTCCAAACAGTTTTTTTTTCATCTTTGTTAAACAAAGAACCAGACCAAAATTTTTAGTAATCGCTATCTGTCGTCAAAGGAAATATTTCAAGCTTATTCTTGCCCATGCACTTTGGAGTTTATTGTCAAAATACCGACAGACACAGAAATTGCTATACTCATTTAACATTGGTATTGCCAGTTTATATATCAGCAAGGTAGTTTTTATATCATTTGTGATAATTTTGTCAGAGAAGAATTCTATAAGAGTTCATGTATCTATCGATTCCATGCATTCTAGTATAATATAGGCCTATGATTATACGAGAATTTGCGTGGATTTTATTTTTGCTAGCTTTATGTGAAATTTACATTTCTTTACTATGTCCGTATTGCGATATGTGTTTGCCATCATATTAGTTACATCAGGTGTAAAAACAAACCTAAAACTTTGATTAGATATTGATTTTTTGATGTGATAACACGTGATGACATCGTCTTCCAAGAAGTTACCAGTGCTCTGACCACTGGTAACTCAATGTCAAGTTGTTAGTGAATACCACAGCTGTCTGGTTACCATGGTAACTATAGTTACCAGTGATTTTACCATCGTAAGTGCGTTAGTGAATCCGGACCCTGGTGTCTATAGTGTCAACTGTACTTCATATTTTGCTAAACCTCTTGTTCTTTGAAGTTTCACTTTTATTTTTTGCTGAGAAAGTTTATCTAGTGATAATGGATGCACCATAATACCACCTCAGTTTTTAAGTTTAAAGGGATTTTTTGATGCTGCTGTCTCCTAGCAAAATGAAGTGCTATTTTGTTTTATAATCTTCCTTGATGATTATGGGAGTCGTTTTAGATTTAAAGGGATTTTTTGCTGCTGCTGTCTCCTAGCAAAATGAAGAGCTATTTTGTCTCATAATCTTCCTTGATGATGACTTGAGCCCTCAGTGCAATACCAAATAATGTGTCAGGGTGCTTGCGGTGTCAGCTGCTCTAGGGAAAAATCAGGCTGAAAAGAAACTTTAAGCATACTTTTAAGGAGCAATTTCTCCTTAACGAATGAAGCTATAATCAGACAAGTACAAAAACATTAGCATGCGTAACTTAGATATAACTTAGATAAGACATCATCTTGTCATCAGGGGGATTTTCACTAGGTTTTCAACAATTCTGCCTATATTTTTGCTTATTTGTCAGTGTAGGAATTGGCAGCACAGATTCTTGTATGCGAAATTCAATATATGCCCCTAATGTATTGCTGTGTTTTGGTTAAATGAGCCAGAACAGTTGGGTCACACATTACCAGTGGTGAATAGTGATCTGATAATGGGGAAATGATACACAGTGAAGAGAAAAAATGTAATTTGATGATTTTTTTTTAGTCACTCCAGGTAGTATCTGGGCTATATTTTTTGTTAAAAAACAAGCAAACAAAAAATAATAATGAAAACATATTGACAATTTAAAGTCTGGAGAATCAGTCCAAAAGAGTAATTGATTAGTAATACCTTTCTTCAAGGATTTTTTTTTACTATATTTGAAAGATATAAATAGAGACATCTTGTATTGCTGATATTGAGTGAGATTTTAACACATAATTATCTTCTGGGAAAAGGGAGATGACAGAGATGCAGTCTTGTAGATACTTTATTAACCCCTCAGTGATGGGGACAGCCATAACCATCATGACTCGCAGCGGGTGGGCCTAGACAAAGTCTAGCCTGTTACGTAATATTATATCACAGATGATTCAGGCTCCATCACCATAGGGTTAAGCAAGATTTTAACACACAATTATAGCATCTTTAGGTAAAAGGAAAATGTCATAGTCTCATTCTTACAGACATTATCAATTGAAGTGCTACATCAGTTTGCTTCCATTTGTTTCCCCTCTACATTAACCAACTTGTTGAGAATGTCAGAATATGTGGTTGTATGATAATACCTTGATCACCTTTTGGTGGTTCATTAATATTTTAAGTATCTGACTTTACACTTGTGCAGAATTTTGGCTATCAGGTTAGATATGTAAATTTATGCTGTATCCTTGTGGGCTGAATATCTGTAGCTGAGTTTCTTCATTTCATTCATAGGTTAAAAAGTAAGAGTGCTGTATCTTGATGCAAGCGTGCAAGTGTGCATGCCCGCGTGCACACACACGCACACATATATACACATGTACATGTACATGCGCAAGACATGCACACAGATGACACATACAAAGATGATACATGTACAGAGACAACACACACACACACAGATGACACTTGTACAGAGACAACACACACACACACAGATGACACTTGTACACAGACAATACATATACACAGACAACACACACACACACAGATGACACTTGTACACAGACAATACATGTACACAGACAACACATTGGGGGGGGAGGGGCATCATGATGGATTATTTTTTTTAGAAATATTTCTGATTTAATTAATATATTTCCTCATGCTTAAATGATCCTCCATCTTCCAGATACAATGCTGACGAGAGTTTAGAAGAGACCTTGGAAGAATCTGGCTGGAAGCTTGTTCACGGAGATGTATTCCGACCTCCACGCTATCCCAAGCTCTTCACAGCACTGGTGGGATCTGGTGTTCAGATCTTCTGCATGGCCCTCATCACAATCGTGCTGGCCATGTTGGGTATGCTTTCCCCAGCCTCCCGTGGTGCCCTTATGACTGCAGGGATTTTGCTCTACGTATTCATGGGTCTCATTGCTGGGTACATGGCTGGTCGCCTATACAGGACATTGCGTGGCCAGCAATGGAAGTCTGCTGCCTTCTGGACAGCTACACTTTTCCCTGCTTTTGTCTTCTCCACTTGCTTCTTCCTCAACTTCTTCATCTGGGGAAAACATTCGAGTGGGGCTGTACCATTCACAACCATGATGGCCCTGTTCTCCCTGTGGATCTGTGTGTCGGTGCCTTTGACTTTCATTGGCTATTACTTTGGATTCCGCAAGCAGCCCTATGAACATCCTGTGCGGACTAACCAGATCCCTCGACAGGTACCGGAACAGGTCTGGTACATGCACCCTGTACTGTGTCTCCTCATGGCAGGAGTCTTGCCTTTTGGGGCTATGTTTATAGAGCTGTTCTTCATCTTGTCTGCCATATGGGAAAACCAGTTTTACTATCTCTTTGGATTCCTGTTCCTAGTGTTTGTCATTTTGGTCATCTCCTGTGGTCAAATAAGTGTGGTAATGGTCTACTTCCAGTTATGTGGTGAAGACTATCACTGGTGGTGGCGCAGCTTGATCACTTCAGGCGGCTCTGCAGTTTATGTGGCAGCATACTCAATCTTTTACTTGAGCACAAAGCTCGAGATCACAGAGTTTGTTCCACTTCTATTATACTTTGGTTACACAGCCATTATGGTGGTGACTTTCTGGCTGTTAACTGGTACTATTGGGTTTTATGCTGCTTACCTGTTTATTAGGAAGATATACGGTGCTGTGAAAATAGATTAAAGCATCGTTCTTTTAGCCTGTAATGGGGCAGTGTTTTACATGCTCATGGATAGTTTTGCAGCATCTTTGCTGTGCTATAGATCCTATCAGACTCTCTCTCATAGATATTAGAACACTTGTGTTTTCCAAAATTGTTCTCATCTTTTCTAAAGACTAAAAAAGTTCACATCATCATTTAAATGTCGTATTATTATTGAATGCATTTTGTGATTGTACATACAATAAAAAGTGATACTAAGACGTTGCATACAATGTATAGGAAGTAACCTGATATCACTACCACTGGGAATGGTTGTGTATATATGGCTTTATGTCTGCCTTGAGGAGTAAGAGCGATTCCTCTTGTGATTGTTAAAGATTCAAAGTGTGTAATGAACCCTTGGGGTCCAAATGCAAACATTGTGCTCTTTTCAGTTGTAGCCTCAAGTCATATTCAGCCCTGAGAACTTCAAAGTCTGTACTGATCTTTGAAAAAGTTATAAAGATCTTAAGCACTTTACAAAGTAAGATCCAGTGAAAATACTATTCAGAGGTTTTTGATTAAAAAGTAATAAATATTGACAATGCCTAAGATTGTTGGTAATCAATGCATTACACTTTATAATTGTGAAGTCCCATCCAGTTACTGATATGATTTTGTTGATATCAAGGCATTGTATATTATATTAACTTAACCTAATTATTTATATGTATAGAAAATAATCTAATGCTTAATTCAAGATTGTAGATGGTTGATTAGTACTGTCAAAGGAAATTTAGTAACTAATTTCAGCAAATAACAATAAAAGACAAACATAAAACAAATAAAATACAAGAGATATAGTTTTTTCTCTCAGCTGCATTTTTTTTTATTATGGTTAGTTATATTTTATTATTTTTTTATATGCTACCTCAAGATATTTCAGTGCATTGCATCAGCCTTCTCTTTGTTTAGCTGACAACCAACTTTCCCAACTTGCCTATCAATTAAAAAAGATCAATAGACAACAAAGGATCAAATAATACTATTGATTGTTTTGAAGTTTGGATATTGTTGGTCTAGATCTGCAATACGTTTCCATAACTGTAGCAGAAGCATGTCCAATTTTTTCTTTTACCTGTTTATTTTGTCCCAGTGCTTTTGTCATCGTTTGTGAATACTTAAATAATAGGAAAGCAATGTGGAGCTTTTGGCATGGTTGAGCAGAACTTGGAGAACAGTCAAGCTGAGGAATGTAGAAAATTTAGTGGACTATTTATCAGACATTTTTTTCCGCTTTGTAGATAATATGCAATTCACAGAATCACCAGGAGTATACTAAGGCAAGAGCAAATTGCAGTTGGCTTATGGGAAATACCCGTTTATACAAGATGAAGCTCCTGGAAGGCATGGCTCAGTATTCCTTTTAATGTTGTGCTGACTATAAAGATGAAACCATTCCAGGACATGGGAAGTTTGATGTCAAATTTTAGCACATACTGTGGAATTAGCTATGTTGCTAAGAAACTTTATTTTTTAATAGTATTGATATTTTAAAGAAAAAAGTTACGTGACAAATGGGAACTAAAGATGTAAAGATCAAGTATTCACCAGGTTTTTTCATTATATTTCCACACCAGCAGTATGTTTCTTTATCCAGAAAAATAAGTTAAGTTATACTTTCCTGGTAATGTTTATTACTGATAGAGCCATTTGAAAGAGGAACACATAACCTTATTGATAAAGGGGTATTTTTTTATCTCTTTATTTTTTTTGTTTTTTTTATAAATCTCATTATGCATTGGTAGCATCCAAGACTTTTATCCATATTTGTTAAGATTTGTCATAGTGCGATTTGTTTTTTAGCCTGAATAATGACAGGATAGGTGTAGACAAGAGGGCTTGCCAAGAGTGCAACTTCTAGGCCGTGCTTAAAGAGCAGTTGCACTTATGAAAGAAATTATTTTAAAAGACTGAAAAGAGGGCATTATGACTATGAATGGAGTATTGTATTTGGAGCGACTGTGTGTAAAAGAACAAGTAAATACCATAAATTGTGGGATGTAGATTTGCATTGGGATTTTATGGTGTCTGAGAATATGAGTTTTAATATTTGTGTGTGTGAATAAATAGTTATTATATTTATTAGAATTATTATTGTGATTACTTTAGATGATACTGCTTTAATAATTCTAGTGTTTTTTTTAAGAATATTTGGTTTTACTGTATTATTTTTATGCTAATGGTGGTTACTATGAACATTATTATAAATATTGCAGTTAAGATGGTGTATATTTGGTAAATTTTTCCATTCAGTATCAGTATTTTTATGGGTAAATGTGTGTGTGTGTGTGCCTAGCTCTCCCTGGGTCTTGTATAATATGTTAGAGACTTAGGCTAATGATATAACATTCACACATCAGAATTCCACATTTGCACTCAATGTAAACTTTTGTCAAGGAGGTGCAAGTGCTCTGAGAGTAAAGGAGAGGCAAGTACAGTGAGTTTCTTAAGACAGTGTCAGTATGTTGCCAAGGAATCACTGGTTTTCACTAAAGAGCCGGCTTTTATTAGTAAATAGTACTTGTATACAGCATGTGATTTTTTTCTGAGAGGAGGTATTTTGAGTGACCTTTTCTCCTATGTATTCATGAATTAACACTATTTATTTTGTGCTTTTTGTTTTACATATATTTTGGGGGGTTTGGGTAATCCATTTTTTGAGAGAGAGGATTATTTTTTGTTTTGCAACTTTTTATCAACACATTCTTTAGAATAATTTCTAAACTAAAAATCTATGTTGTGCACTGTACACTGCTTTTGATAGTAACATTCCATTGGTGTGTTCCTGATACCTTTGTTTCAACCATTTACAAAACAGTTGCTTGTAAATTACTTCAGCAAATAAAATTTCTAATGATCACTTATTAGAAGAATGGATTCCTACCCCACTTTGTGAGTAAGTTTTTGATGTCTGAGAAGAGAGAAATGATGATTAATTTTCATTCTTTTTTCTCCTTTTTATAAGTGAAATAAGAAAGGTTATTTGAAACTAGATTTTCTAAAGAAAGAAAGAGTATTTCTTAAATGCAAAAGTAGTATCATTTTTTTTCTCTCTTTGTGTTATGTACCAAGAGGGAGAGTGATGTATAAATATCCTTATATGACATAATAACTTTTATATTATTTTGTAGGTATTGCATTGACCAGTAACAGTTATCTGATCACACCTTTATTCTCTATCTCATGTTTATAACCTTTATTACTGTTATTATTATAATTATCATTTCTGATGGTGATGGACTTTATCATCTCATGATTAGTCTTGTGATGCCATTGTGGAATTTCAAGTGTGTTATTTACCATATCCGTAATTTCATTTGGTGTTGTGTTTGGATGCACAGAGGTTTGTGCTTGTATATCAAAAGTTATATACACTTGTTTGCTTAAATAGCGTTAATGATTTAGCTGTGCCCTCTCTTGATAATGTACAGTATCTAAAAAAAGAAGAAAAAGAAATCTAGATTTTCTTTGATCTTTTGCATTGGCACACAATGTGGGTAGATTCTTAGAGATAAACAGTACCATATAATGTTGATTGTTTAGAACTTTTGTTCATTGATTTTCAATGCACTTTGTGATATTAAAAGGAAAATTGTAGATGTCTTTTTTTGTCCACATTTTTCCCGCAGGTGTCAAAAAGTGAGGGCCAGATAGATTTAGTCAAGTTTTATTTCAACAACTAAAATCTTATAGGGGATTTTCCCTGAATACTATTTCTGTCTCCTGATTTTCTCTTCTCTTCTTTGCTCTTACCTCTTTCTCCCTCCTCTCTATCTCCCTTTCCCTTACTGTGTCCCTATTGCTCCTTTTCTAATTCTTCCACTTCCCCTTCCTCCATTTCTTAAGGAAATTTGAGAATGAAATCAAGGATGTATTTACTGATTTTTACTATGTAGGGTCAGTGGATTCATCAAAAGAAATATGAAAGATTTTTTGGTTAATGCTGCCATGTTATCATTACTATAACAGTTGAAAAAGCCTAAGAAGCAATACATATTTATTACTCAGGTGCAGGTGAAAATCTAGAGGAAATTTTGAAATTTATTTTGTAATTGTACAATTACACTAACATGTCTGTTAACTATAACCAGCTTATCTGAGAGAAGATAAAAACTTGATTATATGGCAGATATCTAATATGCTGGAGCCCCTCCTTCGATATTCAGAGGAGTTCAAGAGTAGGAACACTGTTTTGTCTTTTTGCAGTTTCTCTCTATTTTAGGGGTAAATAAAAAAAGACATGATTTTTAAGATCTATTCTTTGAGTAGTAAATGCAATACAATGCAAACAATTTGAAACAAACGACCCCCCTTAATTCCATGCCATGTTGTTGCCGTGGGAGTGTATAGGTAACAGAGACCAGGACCCAATGCTGGGGATCACACCATGCCTTATGCCTCAGTCCTCAACTCGACTAATTTTTTCACGGTCTTCCCTTTCCGTTTTTTCCTCTTCTCCAACCACTTCTACTATCCACTTCCTAAGGTGTGAGAGATGTGTTAAAAGGATGAAAGGCTGACTTTATGCTAGTCATGAACAGCCTGGGAGAACCATGGGCATGGTATTCCCTTGTTTAGTTGTCTAGCCCTTACCCCTCAAGGGGTCACTGAGAGGTGGACTGTTTCTTTCCCTTAGATATTCCAGGTATACCATGGCCAATAATTAAGAATTTGTACCCTTATTAATAGTATTGAAGCTTGCCCCTTTATCGGCTAGCCCCATAGATTAAAATTCTTCTGATTCCCCAACCCTAGGCTCTCCTTTGACCAAGACCCAGAACACAGCTACTAATATCTCCTCCCACTTCTACTGCACCTCTTCCAACCGCACAGTTTTTAATCACCTCCCCCTCCCTTATTGTCCACCTCTCTGTAGTACTAATTCTCTCCACACTATTCCCTCTTCCAGACGGTCCCGCCCTTCAATTACCCCCACTCCCTTGCCCGTTGTTGTTGTGGGGGGCTTGGGAGACAGAGACTGAGACCCGATGCAGAGATCTCCCTTGCCTTGGGCCTCAGCCCTTGACTCAACTAATTTTGTATGGTCTTTTCTCCCTCCAGCACTTTCATTTCCGTCCCTTCTCCAACCCCGTCTACTATCTACTTCCTAAGGTGTAAAAGTCATGCTGAAAGGATGAAAGGCTTGTGCCAGTCCTGAACGGCCTGCGGGAACCATGGACATGGTATTCCCCTGTTTTAGTTGTCTATCCCTTACCCCTCAATGGGACCCTGAGGGGTGGACTATTTATTTCCCCAATATAGTCATGGCTTCCCATGACCAGTAATGAAGACGTAATACCCTTATCAGGGGCAATGAGGCTTGCCCCTTCATCAAATAGCCCCATCAATTCAAACTCTCCCGGCTCCCCAACCCCAGGCTCTCCTTTGACCACGACTCTGAACACTACAACTACTACCCACTCCTCAATGCCAACTAGTGCATTACCCACCCAAACCGAGACTCAATCTCCAGAAGACATTCCTACTTTCCCTACTTCCTCGCCTTCATCACCTCTACCCCCACAACCTTCTTCATCAACACCCCATTCTCCCTTATTGCTACCCTACAACCTTATTCTCCATCTCTCCGCAATACTACCCCCCTCAACAAGACTCCCTCTTCCACACGTCCCTGTCCTTCCAGACGTCCCCGACCGTCTACCACCACCAACCCTACATATATCTTAAATGCTTTACTTAGCCCCGCTAAATGAGACTGATTTTTCTCGTGATCCCTTCTACAGCTCCTTACTCAGGCAACACTTCTCTTTCAACAATGCCTCCAAAAACAAGTGGGCAGAGTCCCTTTACGTACCCGATGCGACCGCTCCCGTCTCATAACAGTCACATTTGAAACTGAAGCTATAGCACAAACAAATCTAACTGATCTCTCTGGTAACCCCATTTCTGCAGACCCTCATCCAACTCTTAATATTTGTACCGGAACTGTCTGTATCTCCCCAGCAAACTGCCCAGTCGATATCAAATATTGGTCAGATTGTGGAGAAGACTTACTCGGCTGCCTTAAAGACCACGACATGAAATCAGTATAGTGTTACTCCATTCCTCTTAGAGCTCATCGAAAGAAACCGACCAACATTGCCAAAATTACTTTCTGTACACATGAGCTTCCTTTTCGAATCTACATTGTGGACAATTCCTCCCTGTTCGACCATACCAACCTCCTCCCCGTCAGTGTCAAAACTGTTGGCGCTTTGGACATCCTGCCAAACACTGCCGTTCCACAGACCGATGCCCCCTATGTGACCAACCTGGTCATAACCGATCAAACTACCCTGCACAAACACGCACATGTGCTAACTGCGGCGGCCCCCATAATGTATTTTATAGAGGTTGTTCCACTTACAAATTTGTCTGAGGTAGCAACTCTCAGATACAAAAATTCTTTTGCCACTCTAAATCCAGACACCCCAATCTCAACCACAACACCAATCTCAACTAAAGCCCCAACACCATCCCCTCTCCCTCCCCGCACTACCCGCAGCAGACAGACTAAACGTTCCACCCCTTCTTCCCCTACCGCACAATCACCTCCACCTACCTTTACTTTTATTCATCAGACACCAGTCTCCTCTTCCCCCTCATAAGAAAACCCTTGTCTCCCCAAACTCTTCAACCAACTCCACTGCAGAAACTACGGAAGATATTCACAGCTATAAACTTGAGACACAGATTTCCACAACTCATACTCCCTCCACACTCGAAGTGATTGCCGATATCCATACCCCTCCTATTCATATTCCCCCTACAATCCTTCCTCCTACTCCCTCTCAACACAACCTAACCCCCTCAATTCCGTCTACCACCAATATCCATCCTCCTGATATCCATCTGCCGCCACACCCATTACCAGCAAGCAGCCCTTATCTCCTTTAAATATGCATCTGTCCATCTTTACCATGCAATCAGAAACAGTAAAACAAATAGCTGGCAAAATTATGTTTCCTCAATTACATATTCTACATCTATTTCTTCTGTTTGGCGTCGGATCCATAAATTATCAGACAAACATCCCGCCCCATCCTAACCCCGTCCTCCATATTCAAGATACGCTCATCTCTGATTCTACTCAAGTAGCTAATGAACAGGGCAACTACTTCAGCCAGGTCAATAGTGGCTCTCGCCTTTCCCCACACTTTTTCTTCATTTCAATGAACGCACCCCCTTTCACCCTATCGTCGGATGAGTCCCATTAGGCTCCTTTTTCTTCTTCTGAACTCAACGCTGCATTATAGTCGTACCGCAACGCTCATGAAGGCCCTGACGGTATTCACTATCGTATGCTCCGACACCTCCCATCTTCCTCTCTATCCTTCCTTTTATTTTCAACCGCATATGGACGTCAAAAAATTGTCCTTCTCATTGGCGAGAAGTTCTTATCCTGCCTTTCTTAAAACCCAATAAATCATGTACCCTCCCTCAAGATTACCGCCCCATCGCTCTAACTAGCTGCTTGTGCAATCTATTAGAACGAATGATTAACTTCAGCTTAATATGGTATCTTGAATCTCATAATCTCCTCTCTCCTTCTCAGTTCGGTTTTCGCCGTGCCCGAAGTACAGCAGACCCACTTGCCCATTTCGAGACATATATTGCATCTGCACTTGCACGCCATGAATCCGTATTAGCCATATTCTTTGACCTAGAAAAAGCATATGATTCCACATGGCGGTATCATATTCTCCAGCAATTGTCCTCCCTAGGTATACGTGGAAACATGGGTGTCTTCATAAAATCTTTCCTTTCCAAAACGTACTTTCCAGGTCAAAATTGCCTCTTCCAAGCCATCATACTTTCCCCAGTTCGAAGGCGTCCCACAAGGAAGTGCGATTAGTACCACTTTATTCCTTTTTGCTGTAAATGACATTGCCTCAGTCCTATCCCCAGGAGCCTGGGCATCACTATATGTTGATGACTTAGCCATCTACGCCTCTGGCACATCCATACCAGATCTCCGTTAATTCCTTCAGTCTGCAATAACATCAGTAACTTCTTGGGCCACTAACCATGGCTTTCGCTTTTCTACCTCCAAGTCTTTCTCCATCCTTTTCTCTCGCTCACGTATAGGTCCCCAACCCCCACTCTTATATAACGCTCCAATCCAATACCGTTCTTCTGGCAAATTCCTAGACGTTATATTTGACTCCAAATTGTCCTGGCGAGACCATATCTTGTACATTAAAGAAAAAGCTCAACGCCGCCTCCGAATCTTACAAACTCTCTCCCACAAATCCTGGGGCTCAGATCGCAAAACTGTCCTCCATCTTTATGTTACCTTGATCCTCTCCACTCTAGATTATGGATGCCATATCTACTCCTCTGCCTCAACCTCCCTTCTTGCTCACCTTGATACAATCCACCACAGCGGTCTCCGGTTAGCCCCAGGCGCCTTCCGCTCCTCTCCAGTTGAGAGCCTACATACTGAGTATGGCATACCATTCCTTTCTCTGGCATACCCGCCTAACACACGCCTATCTAATATCACGCTCTGACCCGCCCCTGTGTCCCCTATGTAATATCCCTTTCAGTTCCACACATTCCGTTGTCCTGTCCACGCTTTATTACAGCTCGCACCT